CGTGAGTTAGTCCACTTAGTGTAGGTTCCAGCGGAACCGCGAAAGATAAGGAAAAACAAATGACAAGGGTGTTTTCTGAGGAGGGGAATGGGGTGGCTTGGGGAGGGTGTCTGAACATGCCAAACAAAGTTAGAAAGAAACCAAGACCTCTTCCTGTGGTCGAAGGGGGCAGTAGACACCTAGCGCTGGAGCGGGTTTGTGTTTCCTCGCTGTAGCAGGACGCTGTTGTTTGCCAATATAAATGCATGAGACCAGCCGTGTAGAGTATATGATTCTGACTGGACCTGAGTAACCGAGGAGCTTAAACGAACGACTTCTGCTAACATACGACCGGGTTGGCTAACCGTATGACCATCGCCTCTGCCGTCGCGAGTATCCGTTGACGTAGAAATTCGGCATGTTCAGTCTGCACCAGCTAAAAGACTCGACGGACTGGCCTGGCGTCTAATCAGTGGCCGCTACGAACATGATTTTGCCGAGAGAGGAAATCTATCCGCCTCAAGTTGACAACGCAAAAAGATGCTCTCACACCCTTTAAGATAAGGAATTAGTCGTTTGATGTAAATATTCTGCTTAAGATGAGACACTGAAGGTGTATTGAGGAAAGCTGAGAAGGCAGCCTATCTCTACCCTCGAGGCGAAAACGCGGTTGCCTTCGAGAATCAACCTTATCTTGGCTGTGGAACACGTGTGCTCAGTAGCAGACTTAAATCGACGAGTTTCTTGACTAGACGTCCTCGAAACGGCAACATACCCGGTTATCCCCCCCCCCCACTCACATATTTTAGATGGAATTGATTGACTTTTTGAAAACTATCTTGGTGGTTTTTTTGAGATAAATTATCGCATTGCAGACACAAGCAAAAAGACGAATCCCGAGAAACTGTTTAGAAAAATCAGAAGACGAGGTGGCGAGCATACGTAGCTTTCGATAAATTCTCGTCGGGCTAGTACAATTACATGGGAAGAGGGTAGAATTAAAACATGTCAGTGATAAGGTAAATCGATTATAGTTCGCCTTAGGCACAGGCTGGGTGTGGGAATGTGGGGGAGGGGGGGGGTAATAGCAGTCAATGTCAGGGGCGGCGTGAGAGCGGAAGGGCGCGGGGCCTGAGCGTGGTTCTTCTGTATGCACAAGATTGTTTTTCGCAACCTGATGGCGGCTGCTTCTGCTGCTGCCAACAGGCGCTGTCCCAGTGGTTTAGGATAGTTCGATGGGACCTTATGGATCACACGAAACGCTTCATTGGGGTCTACATGATGTCCGGATTGTTGAGCTGTGCGATTGTTGAGACAGCAACTTTATTCACTTGACATTTCTCATACTAACTCGAATGTTTCGTCTTTCGAGGGTACGCAGTACACCTTTAAGTTCTGCGAGGTCGAAATTCTCTCGAGGGCGGGGAGAAACCGCATGTGTCTTGTGCTTCTTGAGTCATGGTTCTCCGTCCCACGGGCGACTAAAAAAACGCAGTGCCCCTCCTCCCCTCCATATAAAGTGTTGAAACACTGCCTGAGCAGAGTAATTGGCCACTGAGAGAGGGTACGTGCGAATAGTACTTCCACTAACACTATAAGCGAGTCAAATTTTCGAGTCATTTTCGTGCAAGTAACTAAAACAGGTGATGGCTACGTTGCCGAGGCGCAGGTGATCATCACACTAAATGCGACCATCGGCGATGAATGTGAAGCTGCTAATTTTGGTAGGCTTGTGGTCGCATGTCAACTGAATCCCATAAACACCGTGCCTCCTCCCCTTGTAAGTCTAGCAGCCATATTTACGACTGCCTCTGAGTATGGGCTCAGGTGTGAATCCGAAACGACTGCTCCTCCTTCTCGACGCAGGTGATGGTTGTCGGTAACGACCATTTGACCTTATCCGCACGACAGTTGAGCGGGAACTTGGAAAATGCCGGAATATGCTGGCTTTTGGAAAAGCATCCTAGTAGCACCTAGTATTCAGAGGAAGGCTCACGTACTACGCATCTCGGTTCGAACCCCCATCTACGGAAGTTTATAAGACCGATAACTCTTCAGATGTGAGATGAAGTTTGTTTCGATTTCACAAACTATGGCTTTACCGAATACAAGCATGAGTTTGTCCTATTTTTTCATTAGAAGCGCTACTCCGAATAAAAGTAGACTTGAATCGTGAGGTTCAAACAGGAGAATATGGATTAATTCGTTCGGCTGACTGGCGTAACGGTGGTAATTCAGATTTGGAGCGTCTGTGGGGAGGACGCGACATAGAGACTTTGGCGGTTCTACTCCGCTTCATAACAAATGTCTCATGCCAATAGAAGCAAAGAGACGAGTTCCAGGAAGTAGTTTTGAAGAAGGAGACACGGTCGCTGGGACAAGAGCTTTATTAGCCTGACGTTTCGGGTTCCTGCTCGGACCCATCATCAGAGACAAAAGCAGATACGGGTGGTTCACGCACAGTATTTATAGGATGCAGTCGTCATGCTACCGCATACCTATGAACATTCACGGCTCCCCCTTCATCCGAGATCGTCGCACTTGGTGTGCTAATTGTCTGATGGCCGACATTCGCGGCCGAAATTCTCGCAAGAGGTGACAACCGCGTGAACCGGGAGCTACGTGAATCATGGTATACTGCCCCCAGTCCATTAACAAGTGCAATGACCTTCCCCTTCCATACACGGTGCTGAGACTTCGCCTAGGTGGAGTAATAAGCCACGCGGGGAACGCACAGGTGAACACTTTTCCCAACCCCAGGGTCGGTGGATCGGGTAGTCGAGCCATCATCGCCGCAACACCCAACGCACGTGATGAAATTGCAGCAATTTACGACGCGAATGTCGGATATCAAACAATTAGCACACCAAGTGCGACGATCCCGGATTAAGGGGGGAGCCGTGAATGTTCATAGGTATGCGGTGGCGTTGAAAATGCATCCTATAAATACTGCAGCCCCTTGTGTATGCACCATCCGTATCTGCTATTGTCCCTGATGATAGGTTCGGGCAAGAATCCGAAACGTCAGGCTTATAAAGCTCTTGTCCCAGCGATCGTGTCTCCTTCTTCTAAAATGTCTCATGACCGGCTGTGGTTTGTTTACTTCCGGTGGGGCTGCATAACCAGATCTGACTGAGGGGCGCTTACCGATCGCGCTACGGAACTCAATCTTTCAGTAGTGCCTTGAGGTTCTCTGTCGAGCCCAACCAGCGACATCTATCGTTGTATATGCCAGATAGCAACCGACAGGACAAAGAGCCTGTGATTCAGTGGTTAGGGCGTTAGAATTCTAGGCAACGGGTCACGGAATCGAGCCCCAGGTGTTCCACACTTCAGAGTTGGGTATGACTAGCTGACGACGGCTAATGAGCCAGAAACGGTCATTCCAGTCTCCCTTGACTTTGTCGGCCCCACCTGTAAAAACCCAAATTACCACCGGTCCCGTATTACAGGTGGCTGGGGTTTGTTTGCCTCGGGTGCGGCCACATAAACAGAGCTGACCAAAATGTCTCCTGATCGCCCAAACTCCTGACTTCCCGGAGTCTGTTCCGACAAAATGCTTTCGGTTTCAGGTACCTATGTACCCACTCCCGTTGATCTTGACTTTTCGGATAACCCTCTCGCACACTCTGGGCTTTTATATACACAGAATCCCATGCAGTCTATTTGGTGCTGCTCCCTAGATGTGAAAAGTCGATCAGAAAAATGTACCCGTAAACGGATGAGATCCGCCTACTCAGCAGCACACAGTCTCAGTTGACAAAGACAGTAGTCTCGCCACATCTCGCGCGTTTCACACTAAACGTCCGGTGGTCCCGGGGTCCTTAGACGTTGATCTGTACTGTGAGGCCAAGGGTTCTGTTCTGAGGTAGTCCGGCTGATTGACGCCCAGCAAGGGAAAAGTTGAGACGGTTAAATGTATAACACTTGCGCTTTCGTGTTCGTTGAGTTTTCTATGTGGTCCCCACCTTCACTGCGTGTGTGTAGTGTGCTTTGAAATTCAAGAAATATTGACCGAAATTAATTATGGCAATCTCAGAAGGAGAGGACTGTTTAAGTGAAGTGGTATAGTTACTTGCCAGAGGACACGAAATTCTGTCCGTTCATATGCGATAGCATGACAGATTTTAATTGAGGACGCCTATAAACATTTATGAAAATGAAAAATAGAGGAGGTTGTACTCGTGCATTTTCGAGCTGGTGACACCAAACCCGTCGTCAGACGAAACGAGAACAAGGGAAAAAGTTAGGTTGTCACAGTAGACCAGTTGGTGTGATAGGACAGACGGACCACTGACGTGTGAGGGGGGTGGGCTCCCGAGGTCATGGTAAGTCCCTGAGTGAGGGGGGGAAGGGTGAGGAGGCGGAACAACTACGGCACACTGTGCTGGAGAGGGAGAGCGGGTGGTGAATCAGTTGGAATGCGGGTGGCTGTATTCGCGGTCGTTGATGCGTCATTAGGGCAGGGGGCAGTCAGTCGTGAACGTAGACCCTCGTAATGGGCATCTAAGTCAGCGTGGTGATTGATACTACTCGCATTGGAGTACTAAGCCTCGATAAATTCTCTCGCTCGCTTTGTATTAGCCATGGCGACGACGTCAGTGCATCCCAATTGAATCGGTGGTCGCACTCGAGTTCATGGCCAAAGACAAGGGCCAGGGGGTCTCGCCAACGGATAGATAATTTTTGCTCATTGATACGGGCGCCCAGGCGTCGACCCGTATGGCCAACATACACGCAAGAGCAATTAGCGCTTGGGATGCGATAAATTACATTCGTTTGTTGCTCTTTGGGGATGGGATCCTTCGCTCGAGATAGTGCTGCGCGTAATGAAGATGCCGGTTTGTGGGCAAAGTGAATACCCAAGCGGTTGAACTGCCGGGCGATTATTTCATGTATGGCAAGGAGTAGAATTTTCGTGTCGCAATCTGTCTGTTGGGGGTGGAGTCCTGCGACTTTGTCTGGTGCCTGAGGCAGTTCTTTACAAAACTGATCGGATATCCGTTAGAGCGGAATAACCGATGCAGGTGAGCAAGCTCTTTGTTCAGGAGATCGATGCTGTTGCAATAACGGTAGGCCCGGTGGTGCTGAGTTCGGACGCAGTTTCTTTTGTAAGCTGCAGGGTGGTTGCTTCCATAGTTGAGGATAATCTCAGAATTAGAGTCTTTCCTATGGACGCATGTTGCTAGGCTACCATCGCTCAACTTCTGTATCCTCACGTCCGGAAACGGCAAGCTGTCTCCAATTGCCTCTTCGCGGGTAAACTGCTTGGCCGGGAAGACGTCAGTAAATCTGTAATGAAAATTACAACTTGCAGCCTAGTTTACGAAGTACCGACCGAAATTCCGAGAAATTCTTTCGGTTGGAAGCATCAGTTAGATAGGATTGTAATTTTAATTATTGTACAGCATAATTCCCATTATAAACTAGCCTCAGGCGTATGACTTTTTAAATGCATATCTATCCAAACGTCTGCAAAGATCACACCCAATAAAAATGTCGCCTTTATTACCATGCATTTTTTATTGATTTCCGATGTCCTTAAAAATTAATGCAATATTTTATATGAGGCATGCGTAAAATGTCTTTTCTAGTGCAGGAAATTGCACCGTCGTAAAGTTTCTATCCGAAGAAGGGGAATAATCATGTTTTAAAAATGTCTGTTTATGAAATATTTAGGGTCGCAAAGTGGCTGTTAAAATGCTTCATAGCTGACCGTTCGTTAATGCCTCTCATAAAGTATGTGATGTGTTCCTCATCCGCCACGAAATTTGGCGAGCCCCATAATGGATTTTCTAAATAACAGAAAATCTTTCCCTAAACTGAACGTGTCTAGCTTGTGATTTGAGAACCCCGAGCGTAAGTGTAGGAGAAGGTCTTATTCAAAATTAAAAGGAAAAATTTCTAACAACTGTAAGACAATAATTCTTCAAGTGAAAGATTTTAAGAACTTATAATTTTCTACAATCGGAGTGCGAGGAAGGACGTTCGATGTATGCTTTCTACCAGCCACGCTCGGATTCGGAAGAGCCTCGAAAATTAGAGAAAGAACTCTTGTCAAATAGGTAGTAATTTCTGCTAAATATGATTTTTGCAGGCATTCAGAAGGCCGTATATCCAAAAGCTGATATCCTAACTTGGCTTGGCCATACTAGAATTATGCTACGTAGTAAGCAGAAGTTTAATGCCACCCATGTAATCCGAACTCACGTTTCGAAACTCCGATTACTGTTTCATAAGATTCAGCATCTATTATACACTTGGAAAACAATAAATACCAGAAAGTTGTAAATGTTCATCAAGTTTCAATGTCTGTGCAAAGCAAAAAGTAAGTTAGTAAACCAACGTATAAATATAACATTTTTTGCCTGTATTGTAAACAACTATGCCTTTAAATTAAAAAATTGAAATTATGGGATATTTTAATCCTCTAATTTCCGTTCTGGCACGTGTGCGCACTTCTTGCTCTAATTCAATAACTCAATATTGCTAGGGCTGTAAGCCTCTTCACACAAACTCTCCCATTTGAGGCCAGTCAAAAAACGTCTACTGATTTATTATGCGTTTCGGCACATATGCATCATCAGCGAGATCGGTTTCAACTCCACCATTTTGCTTTCTTCCCTGGCGCTCTTCACGCAGTATGTCCGTACACCGAAGGTGCCCAACGAGCAGCAGTTTATGCGGCTCTTTTCCTCCATATGGCGTCTTTCACCTCCAACACTGGTGATCAGTGTCCACGGGTCCTTTGCCACCCTGAAGAAACGCTTCTGCTCCACTCTCAAGAAGGGTCTTTGGAAGACGATGGAGAGCGCTGGTGGGTGCCTTGATCCTTTATTTTTGTCCACTTTCTACCCCTTCCCCCGCCCATTTACACTCTCTTGAAATATGACCTTATGAGAAGTTAGTGTCGTCCTCTAGCGGCTGTACAGTAGACACCAAATCTAATTAAGGCAGCATGTAGATGCCTTCATGCTCAGGTCTCGTAGCCGACGCTTTCAGGATATTAAAGTAGTGAATGGTTTCAAAGTGAACTACAGTGGACTGGTCAGCTGCTTAACCGAAATAAAATTTATATCATAGAAACGGAACACGTATATTCCGCCAACTTTACTCCGCTATGACGGGCTACCATTCGGCTTACTTCGCTTACGATGGGCCCAAGTCATGTGGGCTACATACAGTGAGTGACCGATCTCATGAAATGTTGGCTGAAATTCTGAAATGCGTTTTCGACTAGGAAGGATTACTTAGGCGTGGTTGTAATACTGCTTACCTTGCGGCATAATCTTATAAAATTTCGGACTTGGCAGGATGTCAGCATTTGAATACACTTCTTTTTAGTCTCCTGTAGAAAACATGCTCGGTAAAAAATGACTTCTTACGAATCATGCATTTTTTCCATTGATTTTCGATGGTCTTACAAATTCAAATATATTTAATAGAAACCATAAACAATAATATGTTTTCTTTCAGTCGTTTGATAGAGGATCACGTCTTCTTAATATTTTATACTCGATGAAGGAGTATAATTAGGTTTCAAAAAAGTTTTATAATTCCCCAGATATTTGGAGCCTGATCGGTCGTTGTATTGGCGCTTAGTGATTTCAGTCTGCAAGGTGCATGCGTTCCACGTAAAGAAAATCACATATTCTTTTGTGCCATTAAAACGATATCATACAGAGTCCATAAAATTTCGCTATGGATGCGGACTATGTCCTAAATTCCATTATGAGCAGTGGTAAACGTCCAGGTACGATGCTCAATGAATGGAATTGCGCGGTCTTAAAAAATCTCATAATTGGAAACTTTCTAAAACCTAACTATACTCCTTCTTCGAGTATAAAATATTAAGAAGACGTGATCCTCTATCAAACGACTGAAAGAAAACATATTATTGTTTATGGTTTCTATTAAATATATTTGAATTTGTAAGACCATCGAAAATCAATGGAAAAAATGCATGATTCGTAAGAAGTCATTTTTTACCGAGCATGTTTTCTACAGGAGACTAAAAAGAAGTGTATTCAAATGCTGACATCCTGCCAAGTCCGAAATTTTATAAGATTATGCCGCAAGGTAAGCAGTATTACAACCACGCCTAAGTAATCCTTCCTAGTCGAAAACGCATTTCAGAATTTCAGCCAACATTTCATGAGATCGGTCACTCACTGTAGGTCTTTGGCAGGCGTGACACTTCACCTGTTCAGAAGAACAGGCCCGTAAGAGTCTGGTGGTGGTAGTGGTGGTCTCAGGTCTCCCGGCGGGCTAGTTTGACGACTTAGGGTGGCAAAAAACAAGGTTGGTTTATCTGGCGGTTGGGACATAATTAATGACTTGCTGATTGACCCGACTTAACGTAGATTGGTCTGGTCGCCACCCCACAAGACTCGCCTGCACACAATCTACATGCATGTTTAACACTAGTTTGTATTCAGCCGGGAGTCTAAAATGCAGACTGGTCTCTAAAAGCCACAAAACAGACTTAAAAGTGCAAGTTATGGGATCTATTGGCGAAAACAGCTTTCACGGTGACCATGTTAAGATAAGGCATTGTAAACAGACTCTTCGTCAGGAAGATGAATTACGATAGACGTGCTACCTCATTAAAAGTTAGCCGAAACTTTGAAATAAGTTTTCGATTCGATGGAAGTACTTAAGCAAGCCTTAGTGTTGTTTTCGTGCGACATAATCTTAGGGTGTTTCAGTCATACCAGGCTGCCGGCCTTCGAATAAGCTTTTTCGAACGTCTTCAAAAACTACGCCCTGCATAAATGACTACTTAAGTGGCATGCATTTAAGGATTTCCTTTTGATTTTCTTATAAATTCAAATACAATATGTAATAAACAACCATGAAAACTTCTTTATTGCATATATTTGGTAACAAATTACGTCCTCTTTAAATTTTCTACGTGTAAAGAGAGTATCTTTTGGTTTAAAGAAGTAACTGATCATGAGATTTTAAGACTGTGAAATGCCCATTCATAAAATCTCGCATCAGCCCACTTATTAATGTTACTTATTAAGTATATAATCTGGTCCACATCACTTACACAATTTTATCAGTTCTATAGGACATCTTCTTAACATTATAGAGAAATGTGTGATATTCCCTTGACAGGATATACATAGCATAGGAACTCTGAATGCAGGTATAGGGGTACAATAGGCGAAAAGTTATTCGAAAATTGAAAAGTTTTCTTTAAACCTAAAGTTGTTCTCTCTTTAAGAAGAAAGTTTTGAGAAGACGTAAGTTGTCACCAGATGAGTGCAAGAAACAATTTTCGTGCATTTTTTCGTATATAATGTATTGGAATTTACAAAGACATCGGAAATCAGTGGGGAAATGGATTCCACTTAAGTTATCATTTTACAAAGTCTGGTTTTTGCATACGATTGAATTCAAGCTCATTTAAAACCGGCATCCTGATGTGACTGAAGTATTTTAGGATAATGTTGCATGATAATTAACATTATAAGCCTACCTAAGTAATCTTTTCAAATCACAAACATACTTCGACATTTCATGAAATAGCACATCTGCTGCAGTTATTCTCTCAATTGGCAGTACGGGGAAAGTTTTAAGAGTCTTCAGTGTGACTTGGTGATACTCCAAAGCCCGAGTTCCCAGTTTTGTTATCCACAAGTAGCAAATCAAACCTAAAGTGATTTTAGAATCATTCGGGATCAGTATCCGACGTGATGTGAAGCTTCTGTCTCCCAAGCCTGCCACACGCATGCTGATTGTTATAGGTAAACGAACCGATATCATTACACTTAGACCTTGCCTAGGTGAGAGACGGATCAGAGAGAAACCGGGTTTTCTCGACAATCGGTGTTCTACCAAGCTACGACCTTAAGTGCTTCGTGATGGTCCAAATGTATTTTGGATTTGTTAGATTAAAGAAACCTATAAATCGACTGGAATTTGGATTGATGTTACTTGCCCCGTCTCCCCATCATGCATCGGTGGCAACTCCCGGTCAAATGGTACCCAAGCGTTACCTGGGCGGGATTTTGTCCATAATGAATCATAACTGCAGGGCCTCCGCCTCACTGTCCTCATCATCATCCACCGCCTCATGAAGGTATGACAGGACACGGACTACTGGAGGGGGCTGGCGCAATTACAGACATAGTCAAACAGCCCATCTACACGGGCCACACACGACCCACGCTAAGCCCACTCGCACATTGGGCTTCGGTAAGTTGGTCCCGAATCCCCGTAAGTGAGAGGGCCGTAACGGCAACGTTAAAATGCCGTCGTTGCAGCCGCACCCGCACCCGAGTCATCCTGCCAGTTTACAAACTTCGAAGCTGCGACTGATAGCGCCCAAATTTATTCTACTGGTCTCAAATTCCACGTAAGTGAGTGCGCCGTAACGGCAACGTTAGGGGGGCGGTCATCGCAGCCGGTTTCTTGGTCCTACGTAGAATCGACTTACCCTGCCAGTTGACACACTCCCAAGCCGCGACAGATAGCCCACTGCGACAGGTTCAAGCACGCAAATTTATCCTAGTGAGGAGTGCTCTGATGTGCCGTGAGGATGGGTTCGCCAGTGTTAGTCCCACCCTCACCTTTTCAGTAGACAAGCAATGAAATTGGGCCCAGCAGCCGTCTAATGCATGCCACAGACAAGTCAGAATCTTGCAGAAGTTGAATTAGCACAATGGCCACACTACGAAGGAGCTACTGAAGTTTGGTCTTCAGCCAGGAGGCAAACCGGGTTGTCCTATCAGGTGGCAGCCTTCCCGGCGCCACCTGGCGCCTTAAAGTGCCCCATATCTGTTGTCTTGAGGAAACAATGGGCTGGGTGGATCTCGCTTCCGCCTCTTGGTCTCTCCATCCATAGTCTTCCGGTGTCGAGCCAAAGTTCATTTGGTTGGAGATGAGATGAGATGCGGCGACTCATGTGGTATTGGGTACGATATACTTGTTTGATTCATTACCCCTTGTTTTTGTCCGAAACAACACTTTTGCTAGTTGCGGTGCCCGGAAACTGTGTACTCTCACACACCAAATAGATGCAGAACACGAATGAAGGCTAAATTCGAGTTCCAAGTGCATGTCTAAGTGAAGACGAAGAGGGGTCGAGCACCAGAACATTTTGTTTATTGTCCTGAGCTGTGTGATGACGCTCTTTAAACGGATGCAAACTCACTGAGCAAACTGGAGGGCAGAGCACGTGAGGCCCGTTATCTCCGCGACCAGTTTGTGCAAAATGGCTTTTTGAGGGCATTCATAAGTCCCTGCCTACGCGGTCGCCCCCAAAGAACTCGAACATCAACACCACCAACGATATGACATTCTCTGCCATGCATCAAGGGTCTTTCAGAAGCAACCGAGCGCATTGCTGTGGAGCTAGGTGTTGGAATTGCACACCACCCCAAAGCCACCATGCGCAATAGGGTCATGAAAATTAAAGACCGGTTGAGGCCTGAGGAGCGATCTGGAGTAGTGTATCGCATTTCGTGTCAAAACTGCACTTGTAACTACACAGGCCGGACTGGACGCATGCTCGGATCGCGCATACACTAACATAAGCTGCCTGTGCGACGAGGCGACGCACTATCACAAGTGGCCGCCCACACCTACGAAATGGGTCATGAGTCTAACTTCGCAGCCGCCAAGACAATCGTCCCCGTCGGAAACAAAACAGGCGGAGAATTGATTGGAGCCTAGGCCTCGGATGAGAACTCAGTCAATCGATTTATCGATTTGGCGCCTGTGTACAGAGCCCTGCGTAGTCGCCTCCAGTCTTGCGCCGTCGGTCGATGATTGGCCTACATGCCTTATAACTGTCGCTTGTTCTGTTGCTGTTACTACCTCTGATGATGGACCTCTGTACGAGTCTGAAAGCTCAGGACAATAAACGAAGTGTTCCGGTGCTCGACTCCTCTTCTTCTTCTTTACATATGTAGAACGTACTTTGGTTTATTATTCATATAAAACCTTCAGTACTTTTATTTGTCTGCCATTTGTTACAGGATGTGGGCTTGTAAACCTGAGTTTACCAAGGACTGATGCGATCTTTACCCGTAGCGATTGTGCGACCGAAGAAAAAAATGTTAGTTGCCTGGAGCTTGAGTCTACCTGGCGTCTGCTATTCTCTTAGGACAGCCTTTTGATCCTCGACTTCGGCCATGAAGCAGCATTGTAGAAAATGTAATTTTAAATTTGGCAGATGTTCCCAGTTACTACTTCTTGCCGAATTCCTAGAGTCTTTCGGCAAACAATGATCCTCTACGTTATTCAAGAGGATTGTGATGAAATGGTGTCCGGTAGGCCAGATGACGAGGACGGAATTTTACCAGATGTCGAGCTTAAGAGGGAGCCATTCCATTCCAATCCCAGTGGACGCCTAACCCTTACCAGTGGTGCAAAGGCCACACCGAGCTGTTTGGTCGTGACAGTGGATCCGGCGGTGTTCTTACAGACCTGCCATCGCATCCGCTCTCATCTTCATTATTCCTGATTAGGTTTTGCCACTGAAATACAAGGGGCATAAAGTCAGTGACCAATCTCATAGACTGTAAACCAGGGTTAACAAATGCTTCCTCAATTAGGAAGGATTACTTAGATGGGATTGTAGTAACGTAATCTCATGACATTTCACGCATGCCAAGATGCTAGTTTTCGACCGTGCCTCATTCCTGCCGCCTGAAAAACCGCGCTCGGTAAGAAATGACTAAATGTGCAGCATGCTTTTTTTCTGTCTATTTCCGACGCAAATTGAAACGCTTACTTAGATTAAAATGCGTCTAAACGCGTTGTAAGAGACCTGAGGAAGCACCAAATAGAAGTGGCGCACAAGCCGACGACTTCGCTGCGCAATCGGCCTATACACCCTAAGGATAGGGTTGTCTACTTGGGTAAAAAAGAAATAGTTTATAAGATTCCATGCGGCGCTTGTAATGCAGTATATTTTTGGTCAAACCGGGAAATCCGCCTTCACACGCCTACATGAACACCAGTTGGCAGTAAAGAGGAAGGATCTATTATCCCAAGTCACCAAGCATACTTTAGAAACTGGACATAAATTTGCTTGAGATAAAACGTGCATTGTCGGTTCCTTTCCATATAAGAAAGGCCGAGAATTTCTAAAGGCCACTGACTCTGATGATTCACGCATTGATCTTGACGCCACAAATCTCAAAGAAAAATGAAAAAGGTGATACCCAATCAAAAGGTGACGTCAGCCCAGAGCATCGACCCCATTCTCAGCACCAAAAAAGCAATATCGATTTTTCGGACATGTCCAAATTTTAACTGCTTTCTACACTTTTTACACGTCTGACGACGACCTGGGGGACCAGCGGCGAAAAATTAACAAACTAAAGCTTGCTCTCATCCCCATAGGTCTCATTTTTATTTGAAATACATAAATAAATGCGAATATAGCCCGTAGATAAACGAACAAATATATCCTTCCTTGCATTCATTTGGTAGCACGTCACGTCTTCTCTAAATTTCATACTAAAAGAAAAGGTGTCTTTTGGTTTCAAAAAGCGTTTTTCCATTCCCGAATAATTTTAAGGCTTTATCGGCCGTCCCATCTGGGTTCAAGTTTTACAGTCTCCAAGCTGCATACTTTCCGTGTAAGAAAAATATGCATTCCCTTAAGCCATTTAGCTTATACCAAATGGGGTTCATAAAAACAGCAACTTATATGGACCATGTTGCATACTGAATGAAGAGCTTAATTAAACAGACAGATACGATGTTGATTTAAACGGACATTTTACAGTCTAAAAAATCCTATAACCAGTAAACTTTCTGAAAACCGAAAGAGGCCTTTTCTTTTAGCATAAACTTTGAAGAAGACTTGATTTTGTACTAAATGAATTCAAGGAAGAATATTTCTGGGCACTTCTTCTTCAAAATATATTTGGGTTTGTATGGGCATCGGAAATCGACAGAAAAACGGCATCATATTTATGTAGCCATTTTTTGTCGAGTACGGCTCGTTAGATAACCGTACAGAAATGTATTTAAAAGCCAACATCTTGTCATGTCCGGAATATCATGGGATTATGCCGAAGGCAAATCAGTATTGCAGTCTCGCTCACACAATCCTTTCTAACAGCAAACAACTTTCAGGATCTCAATAAACATTTCCTGAAATCGGTTACTGACTGTAGGCGAGGGGGTGAGGTTGGCGCGGCGCAAGCCTCCCACATTTGCATATAGGTTAACCCCGATCCCCCAAAATAGTAGTACTTAAAATCTTGTTAAGTATGAAAGATTGCACAAAAATTCGTTAGGTTCTCCTTGCTGTTATGCTAAAATATCTTGCATTTAAGCATTACATTCTAAACTTTTCTGGGTGCGTTTGCGACAAAATTCAGCAGAATTGTCTATTTTTGCAGCCTGCTGGGTCATCGGCGACGGTTTGGATCGGGGTATCGGAAAGATCGCCGGGGAGGCTGTGAATGAATACATCGAGGCCTACGGCGGCGACCGCATTTTGGCCGTCAGCGTCACCCCCATGAGCGTTCTCAAGCATCGAAACCTCTTCAACACTCGAATGGTGAGTTATCGCGGTTAAATTGGTGCAGTTTTTAGGTCACAAATTAATAAGGCAGCAGGCTCTGGTTATTCTGACCAGTGCCCCGGCACAGATGACTGACAACGGCTAGTAAGCCTGAAAAGGTCACTCCAGTCTCGCTTGTCTCTGTCATTAATCCCTTCCAGGCTGGCATTTCTGGTGGCTATGCGACTGCTTGTGAGGACTCTTGATTGCTTCCCAATGCGCAATGAGACGTATTCGATGCGCGTCTCGGTAGCGGGAATACCTGGGTGGTCGTGTCGCTCCAGAAGCAAATCACCTACTCATGTGGATCCGCAGGGTTTCGAAACTCTCCAGAATTCTGATCCCGAGGACGTTCATTGCGGTTTAAAAGGCACGAGGAAGCGAGTTCGTCGACAAACCCCACCGAAACAGTCGCCTCCAGGCCAACAGGATTATCCCCTGAACCGAAGAGCTGTTTGACAACAAAAAAACTGAACCGCTGTGGTTATCCAGCGTAATGAATCAGTTAATCAACTCTGCAATAACGCGAGTGGTGCCAATATTCACGCCCACGTCGTTTCCATTGAACAGCTGACTGACCACCACATTTAAAACAGACATAGACAGCAGAATTTATTGGAAACAGTAAATTTCGCGACGGCTTCTCAACTGCAGCCTGTTGTTGCATAACACAGATAACAAGTGAGAAAGGTACAGAGGTTTGAATTTCGACAGAGAAAATCAATGTAAAACAGCAAGGTCAACGTATACAGCGCGTAGACGTATCAATAAAATGGTAACTTCAAAATGCAACATAGGAAAGAAAATGGGAAAGTAAACTTGCCGAGGAATTTCGAAAATCAAAAGAGGGCTCAGATCTACCAGGGCAAGCGGAGGTTGATCACGTGGTCTAACTGTTTACATAGGTCGGGTTTCTCCCGCCATATGTAGGCTGCCTCCAGGTAACGCAATAACCGAGTAGTTCGTGCTGGGACTAATACTAGAAAAGATGTTTTGGGGTCAACCGAATGGCCACTATCAAGGAGATGTTTTGTAATAGAAGACCGTGGAATCTTATTCTCCTGTTTTAGAAGCCATTTAGGCAGGTGCTAAACTGCCCTGGATGCCAGTTGCCCTTGCGTTTGCCCAATCTACTTGCATCCACAAGCGGCAATTGAGATGCGCTATTGAAAGAACTTACAACCCAGCTGAACTCATATTCTGCAGCCCTAATAAGGCTATCGAAGTTCCACGGGCGAAGGATGCCTTGCCATTGCACGCCACGTCAAATTGTGTTTGCGAATTTACGTGCACTTGTGGATGCAAGTAGATTGGGCAAACGCAAGGGCGACTGGCATCCAGGGCAGTTTAGCACCTGCCTAAATGGCTTCTAAAACAGGAGAATAAGATTCCACGGTCTTCTATTACAAAACATCTCCTTGATAGTGGCCATTCGGTTGACCCCAAAACGTCTTTTCTAGTATTAGTTCCAGCACGAACTACTCGGTTATTGCGTTACCTGGAGGCAGCCTACATATGGCGGGAGAAACCCGACCTATGTAAACAGTTAGACCACGTGGTCAACCTCAGCTTGCCCTAGTAGACCTGAGCCCCCTTTTGATTTTCGAAATCCCTCGGCACGTTTACTTTCCCATTTTCTTTCCTATGTTGCATTTTGAAGTTACCATTTTATTGATAAGTCTACGCGCTGTATACGTTGACCTTGCTGTTTTACATTGATTTTCTCTGTCGAAATTTAAACCTCTGTACCTTTCTCACTTGTTATCTGTGTTATGCAACGACAGGCTGCAGTTGAGAAGCCGTCGCGAAATTTACTGTTTCCAATAAATTCTGCTGTCTATGTCTGCTTTAAATTCATTCCGGGGAAATATTGCTTCATGATGACCACATTGTCAAGAATACATTTTACACGGGCTGACCAAGCTGTGGCCTGAGGTAATTGAGCTAGGTCGAGGGACGTGTCTTGATGGTCGTTTGTCCACAAGGCTGCCAGATGGCATTTCTATGTGCGAATAGTGGGGAGACGTATCCCTGAGCTTACAGATGCGCAAGCATCTTGGGTTGATCAGTGGTGACGCTCCCGTAGGGGCTAGGAGGTAGTGTAGTATCTCAGTAATATAAAATCGTCCGGGGATGGCACAGCCCGCCGACGGTTTTATAGGCTAATGGTGGCATGAAGGCGCAGCGAAACTTCCAGAACAATGTGCATGCTCTAGGGGCTCCAGACGATTTAATCCGACGGGGCGGGGTTTCATTGGCGGCCATAGAGTAATTTTCCCAAGGCTCTAGTGGATCATAGCATGCATTTTGGGACATGAGTTACTAAAAACAGATGATCTCCGTGTGTTCTCTCAACTTCTGTCACGTACATCATCAAAAAGATGAAAAGGTACAAGGCGGATCTTGGCTCCGCCGAATGAATAATAAACAATGAAAAGGGCGATTTCGGGTGGTTCGGGGTAGACATGCACCGGGGTCGACCTCCTTCAGGCTGATGCTGCTGAAGTTGACCTCCTCCAGGTAAACGTCCTTCCCATTACGAAGATACTGCTCGAGATTTCCCGAATCTCCAGAAGTTAGAAGTTCGCCATCCTGAAAAGTTTTCCAAGTTATAATGCAGCGAAACTAATACAACAGATATATTGCGCAACATAGTAGAATGATCGGAGGCATGATGGGATATTTTAAGTGAGTATTTACATAAATATTCTCTTTCGGTTTATTCCTCGAAAAATTTCGTAGAACAAGTAAACGGCGGTAGGGGGCGCTCACCGATAGTTCTTACGGAACTCATTCGTTCCGTTATGCCCTACGGGCTCTTTCTCCAGCCCAACCAGCAGCCGCACAGCGGCGCATGATATAGGCGGAATGCTATTACCGACAAGGACAAGGGAGACTGGAATGGTCATTTCTGGTTTATTAGTCGTCGTCAGCTAGTCATACAAGACGAGTGAGTTCCGTAAAAACGATCGGTGAGCGCCCATCTATTATTGTACATTCCAATCGCAACCGACTGGACAACGAGCCCGTGACTCAGTGGTTAGAGGTGTGGGACTTCAAACTAACAGGCCGCGGGGTTGATCTCCAGATGTTCCTTCCTCCGAGTATAAAATTGGAAAAAGACGTAATTTTTTACCGAATGAGCAAAACAATGAATATTTAATGCATGTTTTCCATGGAATATAATCAAATGTTTAAGAGCATCAAAAATCAGTGCTGAAAATGCATGCTATTTAAGTAATTATTTTTTGCAGAGTATGGTTTCTGCATGTAGCTGAAAAGAAGTTCGTTCGAAAGCCGGCAACCTGAGGTGACTGAAATATTACAGATCTATACTGCGTGATGATTAGTTTTACAATCCTACTATATTAATTTTTTCGAAACGAAAATGCATTTCGAAATTTCCGTTGACATTTCATGGGTTATCCCACCTACTGTATGTCAATTTTTGCTGTCTCGGGCTTGCGCAAAAAACTCTGTAACCATTTACCTTTGCGTGTCACTAGTCGTTAAAAATCCCTAGTAATTTCCGTTTGCAGCAGTTGGTCCAGTACCCCAGTGATGCAGAAGAAGATGAGGATGAGGAACAGGAGGATCAGGAGCAGGTGCAGGAGCAGGGAGTCGAAGCAGGAGAACCTGAATATCACTCTTCTCAAGTCAGACCTCGCTCTCTGGGGGCCCAGAATCTGCAACTTGACAAGAACTACAACTACCTGATCCTGCTCGCCAGCAGTCCGGTCACGTCTCCTGATTGGCAGTTCTATCAAAACGACCTCATGCGAACGCGAGTCACCTTGGAACGGACAATTTCAGTCTGGAGGGCTGTAAGCACACAATTACAATTTGAAGAATTATTGCGGTTACGATTGCTCTTGTGTTTCGATTGTTTTGGAAGCGAAGCAGCTTTTTGTTACTGATAAATGGGCGCCAGATTGGTAGTGACCTCAGCTCCGTGTTCTTCTGTCCGCATTTGAGTGAATCTCAAATCCACCCTCTCTCCTCATTGGCCGTTGTGCTGCAAATAACTGAGTCCGTCTTCTTGGGATTACAGGCATGCTAAGTCGTTCGGTTAATCAGCGCTCTTCTTTGCCAGATCAGATTTCAACCAGATGAGATCTTCATCAAGTTGCACTTGAAGGTATTCCAGTCAGCCCCAGGCACTGTGGCAGTGAGACAGGCTGATCTAAAGTGGGTAAAAAATGCTCGCTGGCGGCTTACGCTAAAGTACCGTGGGGGTTAGTGTTGGGGCAAGGATTAGGGTTAAATTCAAGAAATGGGAAAAGACGCTCTCTAAAATTTGACCCACAGCAGCACCCGCAGCATGAGGGTTCTTGCACCCGTGTCCGGGAAAGTGTCTCGCAAATAGTTTGGGTGGCTGAGGGACCCGACCAGCGCTCAGAATAAGTTAACGTCCAAGGGGCTCTCCTTCAGTCTCCGATTCACAGATGGATCACCATTGAAATTGTTTGATGCATTACCTGAATCACCTAGAAGCATCGAATGACGCTTTCGATTAAAAGAGGAAATTTATAAACTGCCTATAGCTTGGTGTATTTTTGTGAAGTCACGGTTATTCTGTCAAGGAAACTGACTTTCAAGCGGTCTGCAATGCATGCATTTATTTTACATGTGACTGCTTCCCGGCAACAAGTAAGTCATTTCTCCATGGTGTCAAGTCTCGGTTGACTTAGTGCTCAGCTGGAAGTTCGTGGATGTATCGTTTTTAGGAGGGGACAGTTTAGCTGCGTCTTTGCCAACAGAGAGTCAAGAGCACCCTGTAGCATTATCGCCATCGTTAGTGGACATAAGTGCTAGTGAGAAACTGCATGGAAATTTAAGCTAAGGCAGCCCACGCCAGAGACGCGGGTATATGAAACAGCTGTTCTATGTTCACTAAAAATATGCCATCCGGGCAAATTCTTCTACAGTAGGTGACCTACGTCATACAGTATGCCTAATATGATGAAAAGTACTTAGTCAGTCTAGAACCAGCCCAAGCGCAGCCACCAAACACCAAACTAATGATGGACGTTCTCCAGTTAGATAAAAACACAAAATAAGTACTTCAAGCATTATTTCGTTTATTAGAAATAACAATTGTCTCAAGAAAAGCGCAAATGCCGAAACGCGATAAGTTGTGTCACGTGAATAAACTCGAATTTCGGAAGTACTCGGGGCTTTTCCAGGCAACTGACGGATTAAGCTAAATGGCATACAAGTAGTAGCGTTTGAAAAAAACTGCTCTTACCTCCATTTTCGGTGAATATCCTCCAAGTTTTAGTGTTCTCCGAATCCTGCGTAATGGTAGAGGGGCGCTCACCGATCGTTTTTCCACGGAACTCACTCGTTCCGTTGTGTCTTTGGGCTTTCTCTCTCTCGCGCTCGAGTCCAACCAGCAGCCGCACAGGGGCACATGATATATAGGCAGAATTCTATTGCCGACAAAGACAAGGGAGACTGGAATGGCCATTTCTGGCTTATTAGCCGTCGTCAGCCAGCCATACCCAAGCCCGAAGTGTGGAACACCCGAGCCTCGAACTCGCGACCTGTTAGTTAGAAGTCCACGCCACTAACCGCTGGGCCACGAGCCCGTTGCCCGCTGTGCTGCTGCTGGTTGGGCTTGGAGAGAGCCCGTAAGGCACAAAGGAATGAATGAGTTCCGTAAGAACGATCGCTGAGCGCCCCCTATCATTAAATTCTGCATGTTCCGTCGCTTTTGCTCTTTTTAAAATCTGCAGTCTGCAAATACGTTAAAGAGGTTTCTAGAATGGCGTAACCGACAGAGACAAGACATTCTGCCTATATCATGCGCCGCTGTGCGGATGCTGGTGGGGTTCGAGAGAGAGCCCGTAATGCACAACGGGACGAGTGAGTTCCATAACACGACCGGTAAGCGTCCCTCTACCACTGTTCATTCCCGATCACAACCGACGGGACAACGAGCCCGTGGCTCAGTGGTTAGAGGCGTTGGGCTTCTAATCAAGAGGTCGCGGGATCGAGCCCCAGGTGTTCCACAACTCGGGATTGGGTATGACTGCCTGACGAAGGCTTATAGGCCGGAAATTGCCACTCCAGTCTTCCTCGTCTTTGTTGGTAATTCCGTTCTGTCAAATGTGTAATGTCTGACCATATTTTTTAAAGTCATGTTGCGAGGAATCAACGTAATTTTTTTACTCCTGCATTTTTCATGACTCTGATGATTAAGCAAAAGAGGGTTAGCTTGATTTTTTTAATGAAGACGTCACAGTAACAAAAGTTTCCATAAGGTCACACGTTGACAGGACGGTCAGTTGAAACAAAATTAGTACACGCAATTACAATCATACCGTTTTGTTTGTACCAAGAGGACTTTTCTTTTGTAAAATTATCGCATGACTTTTGGTGACGGTGGAGTCCTCTGAAAACGTCAGTGAGTATGTTACGGTTTTCAGTGTTGTCGATTGGCTGGACAAAAAGATAGGATCTATAAAAAGTTTTTATCAAAGCCTTCAAAATAAGATATCCCTTGAAGTCAGCTACCACAGTAGTGTTCTTAAGCATTGTATTTTATGGAGCGTCGTATCTAAAAATTCATTTAAACACGAAACCTCATTGTCAAACCGGACTGTAGACTTAATCTTAACCCTCAGATCCCTCCGAATTTCCGAACGTCAATCCTAAATCCAGGTGCAGTCGTAACTTCTAACCCTAACCCACAGTTTAACCCTTAACCTTGTCCTAAGGCGCAGCCTCGATCTTAGCCGTGAAGTTAACCCTGGGCTTCAGGTCTTACCCTAATTGAGACCCCTAAACCCAAAACAGTCCCGCGCTAACTCCAAGTATTAATTCTAGCTATGACTCTAATGACAGCAGTTAGCTAAACCAAATTCTGGCCGTAATCGTGTACCTACCACTAACGATATTTGCTCGTTTACTCTCCTGTTGTAGGTTAATCCACTAAATTACTACCGTCCCAAAGTGCGACAGTTCGATGTAGTCGAGTAGCAAGCAGAAGCGATTGAGTGCTACTCAATGAGAAAACCATTCGCAGGGGAAGCTTGTAGGCGTAAATGTTGACGGCAAGTGGGCATACAGGCTGGGTGGGTCCCAGCGGACGGATGTGCACAAGCACGAAATCCCTGAGAACTGACCGCATAGTCACACATTACTCACTTTCCAGTTTCCTATCGAGACCAGCCGAGGGGGGGGGGGAAGGGGAGGACTGTGCTATGGGAATTTCCGCTCCATCGTTTTAGTAACCCTGACATTGAATTACGAGTAGATGAAACATTTGTGAGTATGCCTCAGCACAACGCGGGCTGGCGGAAGCGGCAGAACTGGGTCGTTTGGAGGTACGTCAGCCTTCACCGGCGTGCCAGTCTACAACGGATAAGTGACGAGACGCGGTTTTGCTGGTAGCTGTTATTAATAACGGGTCGGCCTGTCACGGCAGACAGAGCGTAGCCACTACGACCTTCAGGTTCGGTCCAGAATAGAATGAGGTGTTGAGCACCTGTTGAGAGGATGCTGTATTCTGTACAGAAAGAGTAGATGACCGGTTGGAATAAGTTGACCGTCGGATGAGAGAACACGTCCGGTGTCATAGAGCGGTGTTTCGAATGAGTAGGGAAGGCGTCGCAGCGCCTTAAGCGAGAGCAATATCCAGTCGGCCTTGAAGATAATTGGCTGCTTCGGACAGCTGTGATTGGTCGAGAGTCAGAATGCTACTGGTGGTGCACACATGCAAGTACTCGTGAGAGGCAGAGCATTGCAGCAAGGGACCGGAGTAGGGCCAGTACAGTCCCTGGGAATTCATAGTTACGAATTAATGTAAGGCGAATCGCCCCCCCCCCCCTCCCCTACACAGGTGCCTGTGAGCGCGTCTGGATGAAGACCAGTATCATCTACGATAAAAACTGATCATGTGACCTGTGTGTCGCGCACAGAATACTTTGTAGATCATGTCGTCTAAGTCTACCCCGCTGAAGCCTTACACAGCTGCCTGAGGCGAAGCGGTCTTCCCATATCACACCAAATATTCAACGGACGCCTTTTTTGAAGAATGAGACACGATCGCTGGGACAAGAGCTTTATTAGCCTGACGTTTAGGATTCCTGTTCGAACCCATCATTAGAGACAAAGCAGATACGGGTGGCTCATGCACAAGGGGCTGCAATATTTATAGGATGCAGTCGTCATGCTACCGCATACCTATGAATGTTCACGGCTCCCCCCCCCCTCATCAGAGATCGTTGCACGTGGTGTGATGACTGTTTGAAGGCCGACATTTGCGTCGTTAATTGCTGCAATTTCATCACGTGCGTTGGCTGCTGGTGTGCTGATTGCTCGACCATCGGACCCACCGACCCTGATGTTGGGAACAGAGCTCACCTGTGCACTCCCCGAGTGGCCAATTATTCCGCCTAGCCGAAGTCTCAGTACTGAATATGGAGTGTAGATGTCGTTGCACTTATTGATAGACTGGAGTCCCGTGAACCATGGTTTAAGCAGCTCCCGACTCACGCGATTGTCACCTCTTGCGTGAATTTCGACCTCGTGGAATTTAAATGTGTAACCGAATCTCGTCGAATGAGCCGCAACTTGAGAGCTAGCGTAATTTCCCTGCATTGTTGCGGCGTGTTCGGCCATTCGCGTTCGGAGCTGTCTTCCGGTTTCTCCGACGTAGTTGATTTGTCCGCAACTGCACCAGATCCGATAAACGACTCAAGACGTTTCTTGTCGTGGCAGTGGGCCTTTTAGTTTCACTAACTGACGCCTGATGGTTGCCTCCGGTCTGTGCGCAACTCCGACTCCGAAGCGTCAGGTTAATAAAGCTCCTGTCCCAGCGATCTTCTCTCCTTCTTCAAGACTGCTCTCTAGGAATCATCTCTTATAGACTCCTTTTTGTTTATATTGGCAAAGTCAGACAATAGCATACTGTTTTCTATAGGAAGGGCGACAGTAATAGTCCTGTCATCGATATTTTTGTCATTCCAATTACTGCCATAATAAGTGACTGGGCAGCTCTCATGAACGCATGAGAGTTTGAATGACCGTTCACAAAGTGAACGACGTGTGCCGTGCCTGTAGTATGGTGGTTATGTTGTGCTTTTGCCGTCTGAACCTAATCCTCACACGCGAGATTACCGGAAGGATGAAGTGGAAGCAGACTGCCAGTTAGCAAAAGCAACTACTTAAATTAACAAATGATGAGAACCGAATATTCAACTTCACTGAGAAAATAGAATACAGGGGCTCCTGTAATACGGGAGGGATGTTCATGTAAGTTTTATCAGTAGGGCAGATAGACGCGGTAATCAATGGAATCTGTAAAAGACATCGAGAAAACTCGCATTCCTGTTACATGTTTATTTCATCTACCCAATGAGCTGCCGGAACAGGCTGCGCGTAAACGGGAGAAAAACGATAGCCCAAGAAGACCAAATTGAGCAAGATGATATGCGACGAGCAAAATTAATCCTGACTTCCCTTCTAACCCCTACCTTTAACCTGGCCTTAACCCTGGCCCATGCCTACTTAAATGCCTACTTAAATGCAATAAGTAAGCGTGTTGTCGTAATAAGAAATAGGGGCTGGATATTCGATCGTTGCCGAACGAAGTAGCCAAAAAATCTCGATAATTTGTCCTTGGGTTTCTTAAAATTGCATCCCAATGAGTCCTGTTAGATTTAACCTGATGAATGTCCTAACCCCTAAACAACTTACAACTCGCCCTGTAAAGTTTACTGTATATAAACACAGAATCTGACGTAGTTAAACTTTATCATCATCTGAAATCTGTCTTTTTAATGTAAGTACTATTGGATATTTCCTTGGCCGTAGTAATGAGCATACTTTAATTCCTCCTCGATTTCCTAAATTTCCAGCTAATCCATTGAGATCTTGTTACAATAACACCATAAGACGACAACTTTAGGCAAAAAAATTAAAAATGGTCATAGATGATTGAGACAATTTAAATAATATTCTTGTATGTCTGATGACAATCGCCTGCCCACTTGCTTACACAGATTGAGGAGAAGGAGACAACGAAGCCTCGGGATCTCAGCGACCCAGCTGCTGAGGTCACGGATACACACACCAGGACGGGGACCACACCCGACGCCACTGCATCGGCAGCAACAGAGGCTGACACGGTTCCCAGACCCTTCCCTAGATTCAGGGCCTCCGTTGTGCCGCCCTCCCCGACGCATAACCATAGCACGTCCTCCGACCATCAGACGCCGTCAAGCCCCCGCGCCCCCACCGGGACAGCAGAACTTCTCCTTCCAAACTCACCGGCCCTTGAGACGGATCCCGTGTTGATGTCTCGGGTCGAGCGCTCCTTCAGCGTGTCACAGGGCACAACGTCAACTCCTCGACAGTCCGCAGGATCACTCCATTCGTTGTCAAAAGAGGCGACAGCTGCCAAGGGTAGATCGTCGCAGGACTACTTTACGCCTCTTCCGCAGGCGCACATACCCATCTGCGGCATTGTGGCCGGCGGCGACAAGTGGACGCTGCATCAGGTGTATGCCTCTGTACACGCCAACAACTGTCCCATCGTGGTTGTTAGGGTAGGTGAGACCCCGGGAATCTGTGAAGACTCACGATAAGCTTGTAAGTAGAAAAAAGACTTGCGTGCACTAAAACTCCATCTACTGTGAGGCGCGAATCCCGGTTGTCAGTTCGGGTGGCGGCTGGACGATGACTTGAAGGTGAATCAGTGTATGGTTGTGGCAGACTTGCGCAGCGCCTCCCACACCCGCCTGGGCTCGGTGGAAGGACAGAGTCGGGACTATTGGAGGCGGCCTCGCGCGCAGCGACTGACAAAACTAACCAGTCCGTCTGCGCAGGTCGCACATGATCTAGTCCCAACACAATTAACCAGGTAGCCACAGAATCAAGAAGTAGTCGGCTCGTATCCCGTCTGAGTGGGAGAGCCATAAAGGGGCCATTGAGCCTGACTCTCAGTCCTCGGACCAGTTATCTCATTTGCACAAACAGCATTGACCAGGAAGACCGAGAAACCCCCGTGAGGTGTCAGTCTTCCAAGTCAGAGCTTTTAGCTCGCAGTGATAAATTCAAACGCGTCGGCTTTATTTTAGATAAGAATGTACTGAGTTGATGTCGTGATGGTGTCCCCAAGTCTCAGTAGCAAGGATAAAGCATGCGACCGGAGTGAGAAAAAGGTAATTAAGTTCCGCAAGTGATTTACTCACCATGTAAACAACTTTTTCTACACAAAATAATTCTTGCTGCTATGCCAGTGATATGCTAAAGAGGGTTGATTGTGCTGTCAAACGCAGAGGTAGAGAGGTACAGTAGATGGACTAGCTCATGAAATGTCGACCGAAATTCAGAAATACGTTTTCGTTTAGAAAAAATCAATTAAGTAGAGTTGTAAAACTAATCTTCCTGCAAAGTAATTCTATAATAATTCAGTAATCTCAGAATGCTGGCTTTTGAACGAACTCATTTCCAGCTGCATGCGAAAACCAGACGCTGTAAAAATGACTACTTACGTAGCATGCAGTTTTTCTCACTGATTTTCAATACCCTTAAAGTTCAATTATATTTCATAGAAAACATGCATAAAATTACTTATTTTTTGCTCATCTGGTAGGAACTTACGTCTTCTTTCAATTTTATACTCGAAGGAAGTACGTCATTCGGTCTCAAAAAAGTTTCTTATTGTGAAACTTTAAATATCTTGAAATGACTGTTCATGAACTGTCATGTCTGCATTTACCAATGTGACTTGCAAAGTTAACAAGATGGCTCAAACCCACTGCTAAATTTTATGAACTCCATATAATCTCCTCTTAATAACGTAGAGAAATGTATGGTTTTCCGTATGCGGAAATAGATGGTTTGTAGTTTGGAAACCCTGGATGCGAGTAGAACGGCAGGTCGAGTTCAAAATTATTCAGAAATTGGAAAAGTTTAGGAAAATCAACTTATGCCTACTAAGGAATTGCGTGTTGGAGTGCAGAACAATGGGTCTATGTAGACATTTTTGCAGCACCACGTTCACGGGAAGTTTAGTTCAAAAAATGTCATCCTGCCGGGGTTTGAGCAGTTGACTTCCGCGTATTATTTTACCGTCGAAAAAGTTCCTTTACAGTTTTTGAATTTATTCTCATTTTCTCTTGGTAAGATGTGGCTATGTAGCCCCACCTGATGGATGCAACTCTGTTGGGGTTGGAGTTAGGAGTTAGAACTAGCAGTTAGAGTTAGGGGTTAGGGGTTGTGGTTAGGGTTAGGGGTTTAGCGTTCGGATTAGGGGTCAGGGAACTATTTCTCAACCACTCAAAGTACAGCTGCGCATTCCCAATAGCTTTTCTTTTGCATACAACTGCTTGATCTCGTCGCTTTTGCGGTCCCCGGCTGCACGTGTAAAAACCCTTATTATCATCAGTCCCGTATTACAGGTGGCTAGGGTTTGTTTACTTCAGGTGGTGCTACATAACCACATCTGACTTTTCTCTTTCACGCTTTTTTAACTCCTCGTTCTGAGGCCCTACACGTATAACCCGCTATTGCAGTATTCTCGTAAGACCCCGTCATATACAGTGAGAGACCGATCTGATTAAATATTGACCGAATTTATGATATGTGTTTTGATTAGGGAGGCGGAGTTCCTATATTCGTTATCACGCGACTTAATCCTATAATATTTCGGACTTGCCAGGATGTTGGCTTTTGAATGCACTTCTTTTCGACCTGCTACAGAAACCGCACTCGGTAAAAAAACTATTACTTAATTAGCATGAAATTTTCTCATTGATTTTCGATAAAGTTATAAATCCAAATATATTTTATAGAAAGCATGCACGAAAATATTCTTCTTTATTAGTTTGATAGAAAATCACGTTGCCTTTTCGTCTCATGCCAGAAGAAAGGGTTTATTTAGGTCTTACAAAAGTTTCTTAGTGTGAGGTCTTTTAAGACCTACGATGTCCATTCACACAGCATCGTGCCTGTCCGCTTAAAAATGCTCCTCACGAAATGTACAACATAGTCCGCATTCATTGCGAAATTTTATGATCTCCATATGGTATATTTTTAAAGACAGAGTGAAATGTGCGATTTTTCTTACGCGAAAAGGATGCACCTTGTGGACTGAAGTCGCTAAGCGCTAGTGCAAAGGCTTATCGAGTTTATAATTGTTCCTGAATCAAGAAACTTTGTCTGCCAAACGAGGAAAAGAAAGCATATTTTCGTGCATGTTTTCTGTAAAATATATCTTAATTTATAACAAGATCGAAAATCAATGTGAAAGTTTCATGCTAATTAAGTAATCATTTTTTACTGAGTGCGGTTTCTGTAGAAGGTAAAAAAGAATTACATTCAAAAGCAAACATCCTGGCAAGCTCGAAATATCATAGGAGTTTGTCGCATAATAATAAATATCACAACCCCACTTAAGTAAGCCTTCCTAATCGAAAACGCATTCCATAAATTCGGTCAACACTGTACTTTGGCCTTGCCGTCCCAGTTAACCAACGCGTAGTGGCGTGTTGGTTTTTAGGTGGAGATACCTTTCCACAGTCATGTAAAACATTTTCGATTAAAATTATCGTCCATGCACCATACATTTGCTACAATGAGAGTGTTATACCACGGGCACCTACGGGAGAATTTACAGCTTGTACGGAACGAAAGAGTTTAATGTGAGGCAGAAGTGGATCCGCGACTGTTTGGACTCGGCTCGGACGAAAAGGCCTTGACGGCCGCGGCCTTCCCCAACACCTTCCGACTTTCCTCTGTTTCAGCGACCTATACACGTTTAATTTTGCTTTTAGACAGAACTGGCAGTAAGGGTAGTCTGCCTCAGTCAATTTGCAGGAAATCGACTCAGCGTTCAAAATAATTTTCAAGAATGTAAAATTATATTTAATCTAAAAAGATCACGATTTACAGTCAGTGAACAGTCTCATCTAGTGTTAGCCGAAATTCTGAAGTGTTTTTCGATTAGAAAGGATCGTTTCGATGGAGCCGTGATAGTGATCATCTTGCAGCAAAATCCCACGATATTTCATTCACTTCAGGATACATACTTTTGAATTAGCTCCCTTTCGACCGGCCTCAAAATTCACGTTCGGTTAAAAACGAGTAATTAATTAGCACGAAATTTTCTCACGATTTTGAATAACCATATAAATTCAAATATACTTTATGGAGAATATGCCAAAAATGTCCCTTCTTGCACTCATTTAGTAGCCGATCATATTTTTCTCAAGTTATATGCCTGAACATAGGTTATATTTAAATTTTAAAATTTTTTCGATTCCTGAATAATTTTGCATCTGAACTGTCGTTGTATTAATGTCTAGGATTTACAGTCCACAAGCTGTATACTTTTTATGTAAGGAAAACCGTATATCCCTCTATAACACTAAGAATATGCTAATTTCGGCTCATAACTTTTTGTAACAGACATGAGCTACGTTGCGTACTTCATAGGGCACATTACTGAACGGGCAGATACGATGCTATTTAAATGGGAATTTCATAGTCCTAAAAACCTCATGGTTTCGAACATTTTTAAAAATTTAAAGACTACAATTATTCGAGTATAAAGCCAGAAGAAGACGTGATTTTATACTAAATGAGCAAACTGATGGATGTTTTTGTTTACTTTTATACAAAGTGCATTTGAATCCATAGGGGCATTCGAAATCCGGGAAATGGTGCACACTACTTAGGTTGTCGCCTTATATCGAACATGGCTTCTGTATGTAAGCTGAAAGTAGCTCCCTCAAAAACCTGCATCCTGACTTGACATAAATATGATCAATATTACAGCTCAACTTAAGTACTCGTTCCTAGTCGAAAACGCATTTCAACATTTAGGTTAACGCTTCATAAGACCAGTCACTGACTGTGGGTACTTCTCGAACCGTTGATTGGACAGAGGTATACGTTAGTAGATGCAGTCGTGTAGACTGTACTTATAAAGTCGGCCACTTCCTCCCGACTTGGAAACGGGTCGTATTCTTTGCGGTTTATTGGGTGTGCCTCAAACACCACTATCAGCAAGACCAGTTCCGCTTGACGGGAAAAAATCAGAAGATACCATAAAGAGACAGCCATTCTGTACAGAATCCTGAGCTGTTGTCTCAAGCAGCAGCAGTGGCCATTGGCGAGGTCAGGGCGTATGCTGGCGGCATTAAGTCACGCCCAAGAAAAAGCCAGTCGGCTGTTTTTATGGTTTTGAAGGAGCAGATTTATGGGTCTGTCGGAATTCATCAGGCAAGGACGGCTGTGGTCGTAGGAACGCGATGGGGTGTGTGTGTCCCTATGACAATCGGTCGGACTGTAGGGTCAGCGTGTGTCTGGAGACGCGCCTTGGGAAACTGAGTACTGTTGACGTCGTAGAATGCTGAATAAAGATTACAGATCTTGCACTAATGCTAATCAGCCATAATATCCCCCACAAATGTTGATGGCAAGATACGGCAATAGGAATCACCCGTAATACAGGCGGCTTTAGGCTAAACTCCGAAAAGGGTAACTATTCCCACGTCCCAACTCTAGGCTTAGAGTTCACGCTAATCTTAGCCCCAACTCACCCGCGGTTCCAATCGTAATATTCCTGGAACCTAGCGCAAGACCACTCTGTATTTCTGGGGGGTCTTCTTCTTGTTTTATATCATATCGAACTTCGAAATGACGAAACAGTCAAAAATTAACACCAGAGAACCCAGTCTCCTCACAAGATTTTCCACAAAGTTCAAAAATGGCATTTTTTCCTGGTGGACTAGAACTGCTACTTCCCTTGTGGGCTGGAGTGATAATCTCGATCTTAGAGAGGGATGTGAAAATTAAGGGGGGGGTTTGAAACTCCGGTCGGATTTAAACGATAATTCAGACTATAATATCCACCGGCCTTGTCCTGCAGCTAATACGAAATAGAAGCACTACTTTGTCTTAATGCGGCGCCGCTGTCAAACTTGTGGATGCGTCATTTAGCCTGACCGTCCGTTATGGACTCGTTTATAGTCAGACGCCAGGGATAAATCGGATATGAAATGCGATGCCTTCCAAGGTCCGGTGGATAAAAGCATTCGCTATGGCATGACCAGCAAACCGTGGCCATTGCAGCCTGGTATGCGCTGGCAGTTTCTGACACCTGGGTTACCCTGCTGATAGATGTGTTTGCGCTCCCGCTGGGTATACAGGTCATGAGCATGGCCGTTCCGTCATCTTCGTCTTTCTGATCTATTCTAGTGCTGTTGTTGGTTAAAAACCCGGTCAAGTGTTTGCTGTGGACCAGGGAGTGTGGTGGTGCGCCTAGGTGTGGGTCCGGCCGTGCCAGCCAACTGCGCCCCCTCCCACCTCCGGTCTTCTTGACTATGTCTTGACACCGAGCCCAGATGTGGAATGGTGAAAAGAGAGAGAGTGCAGCAGATGTTGCGCAAGTCCACTCTCACTATAAACTAGAGATAAATCGGATATGAAATTCGATGCATTCCGAGGTCCGGTGTTGGAAGCCCCGCATTCGGCAAGGTCGTCTGGGGAGCTTATGGGAATTCTAGGCGCTAATCGGGAAGATTGGTGGAGACAGTGAATATCTTTTCTGGCTGACTTCATCCACCTGACTTACTCCACCCCCCTCTTCAGGCGTTGTATGTATGAGTTCTTCCAAAACAAAGCTGAGCCACTCTACAATGTCTTGTGTGAGGTACTCGAACTTAAGTGAAGAAGAAGAGTCGAGCACCGGAACACTTCGTTTATTGTCCTGAGCTTTCAGACTCGTACAGGAGTCCATCGTCAGAGGTTGTGGCAACAACAGAACAAACGACCGTTATAAAGCATGTAGGCCAATCATCGACCGACGGCGCAAGACTGGAGGTGACTACGCAGGGCTCTGTACACCGGCGCCAAATCGATTTGCTGAGTTCTCATCCGAGGCCCAGGCTTCAGCCAATTCTTGGCCTATTTTGTTTCCGGCGTAGGCAACTATTTTGGTGGCTGCGAAGTTAAACTCGTGACCCATTTCGTAGGTCTGGGCAGCCACTTGTGATAGTGCGTCGTCTCGCCGCACACCCAGTCCATATTTGTGTATGCGCGATCCGAGCATGCGTCCAGTCTGTCCTGTGTAGTTACAAGGACAATTTTGACACGGAATGCGATACACTACCCCAGATTGCTCTTCAGGTTTTAACCGGTCTTTGATTTTCATGACCCTATTGCGCATAGTGGCTTTGGGGCGGTTTGCAACTCCAACACGTAGCTCCGCAGCAATGCGCTCGGTCGCTTCTGAAACGCCCTTGATGTATGGCAGAGAATGCCATATCGTCGGTGGTGTTGATGTTTGAGTCCTCTAATGGCGACCGCGTAGGCAGCGACTTATGAATGCCCTCCTGTAGCCATTCTGCACAAACTGGTCGCGGAAATAACGAGTCTCACGTGCTACTACCTCCGACGATGAACCCCTGTACGAGTCTGAAAGCTCAGGACAATAAACAAAGTGTTCGATTGCTCGACTCCTCTTCTTCCCTTATGCATCCACCTGGAACACGAAATTTCGCCTTGATTCGTATTTGAACTTCTTTCTGTACCACAAAGATGAGTTTTATTCTCTCATAATTCGTTGTTCTCCCCCAGGGAAACAAAGTCCTTTGCACTTAGGCTAGCACCTGGTCCTCACCGAAACAACCGCATTTCCAATCCTTTCAGGTCTACCCAACTTATTCGTCTTCTGGTCTAGTTCATGGGTTAGAGTTTTTAGAAACTATGTCACTGTGTCTAAAGGGTCTTCATTTTATGACATTTTTAATTCAGGGCAGTGGCGGAGCCGCGAACGCAGTAGCCAATACAACCGACTTGCACAATTTTGTGGCAAATTTGGGGGAAGAAATGACGGATGAGGAGTTCAATTACAAGTGGGTGTTGTTTACTCCTTGCTCTTTTCTTGCCTCAATCCATAATTATTTACTTCCTTGTGGGTATTTTTTCAGTCACTCTCAAGCTTTTGTTAGCCTTCAGTGGCTTATGAATGCTTTACCTGGTAGATGAATTGTTGGGTACGATAGATTTCATCAAGACCGCTTACTGGGTTAACTGGTCTTTAAATTTGTTGATTCCCGTGTGCATAGTTGTTGCGAGTTGTTTGAGTTCAAATGACCTCAACGAAGTTTGAAATACGGTAACTACGTGAGTGAAGGGCTTTAAGGTATGGGAAAATTTGCTTTGTCATGATCAGCGAACCGTGGCTATCGCAGCCTGGTTTGCGCTGGCAGTTCTCTGACACCTGGTTTCCCTACCGGTAGATGTGTTTGCGCTCCCGCTGGATATATAGGTCGTTCGCATGGTTGCCCCATCATCTTCGTCTTTCTGACCCGTTGTAGTGCTGTTGTTGTTGCTTAAAAACCTGGTCAAGTGTTTTCTTTGGACTAGAGGGTGTGGTGGTACGCCTAGGTGTGGGTTCGGCCGTGCCAGCCAATTGTGCCCTCTCCCGCCTCCGGTCTTCTTGCCTTTGTCTTTACGCCGGACCCAAATGGGGAGACTAGGAGATACTGGACAAGCCTACTCTCATTACGAATTAATTCACGTGCAAGTCACCGTGCCTGCTCTCACCTTGCTCTGTAGCACACTGTGGACATCGAACTGTCATGTGAGTGAGGCCAAACGACGGATAAGGCCACACACATGTCCAAATAAATAAACTCTGCGACCAGCCGTCTGAGGTCACTGCTAAGCTTCGTCAAATGGGTTCTTTCACCACTTCCGCAGCGACAAGACAATTCTTCAAGCAGGGCGTAAGGAGGGTTTCGGGTCAAATTAAACCCCGGAACCTGGAAAATAATTGTACCTGCCGACATATCGATCTCTCGCCTGCGCACATTGCTGTGCGCAGCCACTTGTCGACCTTCGCCACCAGCTGGTTATTAAGTGGGATGCCTCATATGCGGTTACCTATTACGCTCTTCCTGTTTGTGACGATGACCTCCCATAACGGCCCAAGTAGACCTGCGGTTCGGACACATGACAAGATTCGTTCTTCGGTAGATAACTATCCAACTGCTAATGATACGGCACTTATCTCGTTGCTGTAATGAGCCAGCTACAAGCACGTCTACCTGGCCGATTCGCATTCTTACTGTTGTTTACTTTAGGCAGACGATGATACGCTAATAGTAGCTCGACACTGCAAATCTCAGGGTAAAGTGTCAAATATGTTGCGCTTACTAACACATTCAACATGCAAAGCGGTGCTTTTTGATAACCTTAAGAAACAGCGTGTGCTTTTAAATTCGTTTATTTGAACTGACGGTAATAATATATGTATAGATTTCAGGATCTAAAGACGGAAATAGACTTCCTGTTGCGTCCAGATAACTGTTTATGCGCCTGCTTGAGATTGAAAGTGGTGCCAGTTTTCTGTTATTGCACAAATGGGCGAGCGAGCTGTGATTCTTGCAACCCACTTCAACAGCATTATTTTCAATCCTCAAAGTGAAATTTTATTTTGATGTGTCATCCTGCAGTCCGCACAAGCCGGTCAGCTTCTTTCAAATATTAACTCTTACTCATACTTACGTAGTAGTACTGTCTTAAATAGGAATCTTGAATGTATGACACTTGATTTATGGTTAGTGTACAAGGTTTGCACAGTCTTCGGGAAACAAGTTTCATATTGTTATACGCTAGCTCAGGGGGCAGTAGTCATCGTACCTCTGGGTTTGGAACCTATAAATATTATGTGGTATAAATCAACTCAATAAACCTGGAGGTGAACGAAGTCGCTTGAACTGAAATACACATCGATGTGGCCTGCAAAGGTAGACGGTCTTTACCTCCCAAGCGTAGGAGAGGAGAGTTCGTGAAACATACACGTAAATCCTCCGCGGGGAAATCGCTAATGATTGCTGTCTTCATATGTCCTCTTACTAGGGCACGTGCTATGTCAACTTGAAAAGATATTCTTATAAATAAGTCTTTCTTTTCTGCAGTTACCATGGTGGGCCTTGCTGTGCCCCCCCCTATATTTCGGAGGATAAATCTTTCTGGGTATCCGTTTTCGTGGAGTATATCTCGCAGCTGCTGGAGTTCTGCCTCAACAGGCTCAGAAGAGCAGATACTTCTCACTGTAGCTGCCAATCCCTGGACTAAATTGTGTTTAATATTTAGGGGAACAAAACTGTGAAAATTAACGTATTGTCCCGTCCAGGTTTTTTTTCGGACTACCCCACGCAGGATAGATCCATGCTCTTGTCCGTGCAGAAGAACATCGAAGAACTCGATTTCGTTGTCTGCCCCAAGCTGAAACAGTCTCTTCAAGGCGCCCCCTAGCTAGAAATTTTTAAACGAAGAGCTATGTAACTATGTGTTTTAGCTCTCACAAGTACGCGGATTCCTGCAGGATCATCTTGAATATGAACCAATTCGTTTGTTTCCCCCACCAAAAGCACTCGGCTTTCGTGGGCGCCGAGATGTCGCTGATGATGATCGCTACTGCGGAAACTAATTTTCTTTGATAGGACTGGTTGACGAGGTCAAAAATTCTGTAACAGAATTTTAATACACTAGTGAGCATTTTTAATCCATTTGAGGGAAACAGACGAGCACACAGGTTGCTATTAACTGTGGCTTCTGACTTTACCTCAACTACCTGTTTTGAGTCTGTTCAGCGTCCGTTCAACTGATTGGTTGTTATCTCTACTTCTGCCCTCAAGGATTGCCAGCATTTTGAGAGAGGTGGATGAGGAGGCGCAGGGGGCTTTCTACATGCGACAGACGAAGTCTGTTACTGTGGAACCGGCAACTCCGCATTCCGCCTCACGTCTTAACAGTCCACACGCCTCCAGGCGCTCCTCTCGAGTCTCCCTCAAACTGCCCACTCATCAGCCGCCACCCAAGCCAGCACCACTCAACGTGGAGGAATTTCAGGGGGAGGTAATGATTCTGCGACGGTTGACGGAGGACTATGGTCATCTGGTCTCTATTTTTGACAGTGATGACGCAGACATGGACAGCTACATTATTTCCGCCCTTCTTAGCAGTGGTAGGTCTGAAACTCCCCTTTATTGACAGTATGTTGTTATCGACAAAGAAAAGGAAGACTGGAATGGTCATTTCTGGCTTATTAGCCGTCGTCAGTCAGTCATACTCGACCCCGAAGTGTGGAACATCCGAGGCTCGAACTCGCGACCTGTTGGTTTAGAAGTCCACGCCTCCAGCTACTGGGCCACGAGCCCGTTGCCCTGTCGCTTTCGATCGGGAATATACAATGGTAGGGAGCGCTCACCGATCGTTCTTACGGAACTCACTCGTTCCGTTGTGCCTTACGGGTTGTCTCTCTCTCGAGCCAAACCAGCAGCCGCACAGCGGTGCATGATATAGGCAGAATGACATTAGCGGCAAAGACAAGGGAGACTGGAATGGCCATTTCTGGCTTATTAGCCGTCGTCGGTCGGTCATGCCCAACCTCGAAGTGTGGAACGGCCGAGGCTCGAACTCGCGACCTGTTTGTCAGAAGTCCACGCCTCTAACCATTCCCTTTACTAGTGAAGTCGGATGGCTGTACTGATGAAGGACTGGTGAAACTCCGAAATCATTCATTGACATGTCCTCACTTCCCGTGGAGTCAGTGACATCAGAGCTGGACCGGAGCGTTCGCTTAAGTGCGCAAATGCGTCCGGGTTTGACAACTGTCGCCCTTCTAGGTTAAGAGGTATGAAAGCGTGTGTTATGCCAGTAATCAGCAAACCATGGCCCTCGTAGCCTGGTATGCGCTGGCAGTTCCCTGACATCTGGTTCCCTGCCGGTATATACGCTTGCGCTCCAGCTAGGTATTGAGATGGTGGGCATGGCTACCCAGTCATCCCTGTCCTTCTGACCCCTGTTGGAGTGTTTTGGTTGTTGTTAGTGAAAAATCCTGGTCAATTGTAGGTTGTTGACCAGGAGATGTGTGGGCGTGACTAGGTGCGGATCCAGCCATACCAGCCTCGTGTGCCCTCCACCCGCCTCCGGTCTTCTTGACCCTGTCTTCACACCGCGCCCAGGTGGGGAAGAAAGAGTGCGGTAGATGCGGCGCAAGACCCCTATCACCGCCAACTAACTCAGGTTCAAGTCACCGTGTCTGTCGCATCTATCTGTGTGGTATACGGTGTACATTGTCGGAATCGATGTTCGAACTGTCGTTTGGCAACTGTGTGTTGCGGAAATCACGAGCGGTCTGGAGTCACGGCCGAAGGCGAAATGATGGCTTAATCGCAGATGAAACAGCAGACCAAGCCAATAGCAAGATACACGCGTGAAACTAGACAGCCGGCCGGCGCGTGCTGCAGCGTCGAGCGCGTGTGCTACCCTTGCTCACACGTGCGACCCAATCAATGGCCGGTCGAGGATTCGAGATTTTCCCGGGGGATGGACTCTCGCGCATGCAACAGCCAATCCTCGGCTGACACGCCTGACATGGGCCAGAATGTTTCAGAACGCCCAGGGCCCCAAATAAATAGGTTGTCCATTGAGGAGTTGAAAAACCGTGTGTCCGCAAGCTTTGAGAGGGGGGTAGTTTCTCCCAGAACCCGTCTTCCTTCTTCCCCATCTACCCGTCGGACGGTAGCACTGTGGTGGTTAGCAGTCAGCCCCTGTGTCCTGTAGGCTCGGACAGTCGGTAAGATGTGGTCATGTAGCCGCACCTGATGTACACAATACCGCTGACCTACGCAGGCCTGCGCTGCTGGGTACACTCCGTGGACGTAATGGCCTCCGATGGTCGAACTAGTAGTTCCAGCTTGCGGCAACATATGCAAAGCACGAATTAGTTTGACTGGCCACCTACGGCCCATGAGTCCCCGGCCAACACCCTTAACTAACACCTACGCCCGCAGGTTCGGCCACCGCACTGGCCTACCTAATCATATGCGCATACACGACATTATTCAGCTATCAAGCTCACATCGACTGTCGGGGATAAATCGGTCCCGCTGCAATGGAACTCTCCTTGTGTAACATTCAAAACACTTCCAGTAACGGGGCTCCGCAAATTACATGAGGTGTGTGCGATGCGGCCCACGTAGTCGGGCTTTTTGGCTTTTTCCGGCCCTCTGCTTATGCCCAATTTCAGCGGTCCTGACTGTGCTTCGCCATCGAAACGCCGCGGATGGGAGGAAAGATGTCGAAGTAGATGTGACGCGAGCCTGCTGCGTTTTAACCAAGCGCGTCCATAGATCATTGGTTTGTTCACCCCCCGAGACAACTGCGGACCTTGTCGTCTGCTATAATCAGACTACATTGTTGGGTCACCTGAAAGTTTAGAGTCAACATTACCGAGCGAGTTAGGTTAGTTCTTTCAATGAATGTGCTGACGCCAGCGCTGGGTTGACCAACGCAGCTACGTCCATC